GTAGTTCTTTACAAATTATTTCTTTTCAAGGTATTGCTATTTTTAAAATTCTTTCGAGGATCATATAAAGAGCCATACGAACTTGCTCTTGTTCGTTGGTTTGACATTCATCCAATAGAGCCTATAGTCTATGGTTACTTCCAATTATACTATACTGAAGAATATAACATTATTCCAGTTAAATCTATCAATCAGGAGGTTCATATAATTCTAAGGTTTAACAAAGAAAATTGCTTTCTATTAAATAAATATATGTTCTAAATCTTCAAAATAAAAAAGAAAAATGATGTTTCATCATCCATACAGTATATTTAAAACGCCACTTTAGCTTTTTTCGCTAGTTTTATGAAAAGCCTTTCAGATCGACAAAAAGAGGGAGTCTTTAATAGTAGGATATCATAGATATTTTACGGGTTGCTAGTAAATTAAAGCAATTAAACAAACTGTAAAAAATAGCAATTTATCTCATAATTTTCGTCAGTTAGTATTAGTACAGAGTTTTCTTCAGTTAGTAATATAGTGGTTATAAAAGCGGAAATCTGTAAAATCGCAGATTACCGCAGAAATACATACATAAAAAATCAGAAACTTGCAAAATTGCAGATTATTGCATAATTTTGTAAAAAATAAAAGCAGAAATCTGCAAAATCGCAGATTACCGCAGAAATGCATACATAAAAAATCAGAAACTTGCAAAATTGCAGATTATTGCATAATTTTGTAATAAATAAAAAGCAGAAATCTGCAAAATCGCAGACTTCAGCATAAATTCACAAAAAAAATGCGGAGATCTGCTAATTTTACAGATCTCTGCAGTTCTGCATCTTAAAAAATTTCCCGATGTATAAAATAAAAAAATAAATATAATGTATACTAATACAGAATCCCATCTATTATTAAGATATATTATCAGTAAAAATTTCACTTTTATATGAAATCCTACTTTAGGATTTGCTTAAATTTTATTGGTTAATTAATTAAAAAGGAAAAAATCATAACAATGTAATATAAAATTTTCTTTTATAATAGGATTTTTAAAGAGTTTTATATGTAAACTTTACCTTAGATCATAAAATACCTTATCTTAATAATAGGTAAGATCTTTATAATATAGTAATATGCTTATTATCAATTTTACATTTATATATAAATTTTTTTATTATTTAACAAATATTTTACAAAGAAAAAGAAAAGAAAAAAATGGGTAAGAAAAATCAGAAGTAAGTAAGTAAATAATAAATAAATAATCAGTAATTCAGTATCATGCAAAAATCTTATAACCATAAATTTTAGGTAATAATCATAAAATAATATAATATTTATATATTCATTAATAGCAGTATTTATTTATATTTATCAAATAGTTAGTATCAAATAGTTAGAATACAAATAATTTATTTTGTAAGAAAGAGAATAATTCTATACTTTTATTAAGGTTGCTTGCCGAAACTAGAGGGTTTCGGCAGAATGGCGTACGCGAAACTGCCGAAACTAGTTTCGCGAAATCATCAAGAAATGCCGAAACTGCGAAACCTATCAAAATCGCGAAACTGCCGTAACTTGCCGAAACTGTTTCGGCGTTTCGGCAATACTTTCTATATGATTTAATTAGAGTTTCGGCATTTAAACAATTTATAAGAATAAAGATTAAAGACAATATGATTTTTTGTATGTAAATATTTATTTTATAATATTTAATATTAAACTAATAAAATACACGATTAAAAATATAATAAAAATTAAAATTTAATAATATCTTTATCTTCTATGTGGGG